TAAGTGTTCTGTCAATGTAAGTGTTCTGTCAATGTAAGTGTTCTGTCAATGTAAGTGTTCTGTCAATGTAAGTGTTCTGTCAATGTAAGTGTTCTGTCAATGTAAGTGTTCTGTCAATGTAAGTGTTCTGTCAATGTAAGTGTTCTGTCAATGTAAGTGTTCTGTCAATGTAAGTGTTCTGTCAATGTAAGTGTTCTGTCAATGTAAGTGTTCTGTCAATGTAAGTGTTCTGTCAATGTAAGTGTTCTGTCAATGTAAGTGTTCTGTCAATGTAAGTGTTCTGTCAATGTAAGTGTTCTGTCAAAGTAAGTGTTCTGTCAAAATAAGTGTTCTGTCAAAGTAAGTGTTCTGTCAATGTAAGTGTTCTGTCAATGTAAGTGTTCTGTCAATGTAAGTGTTCTGTCAATGTAAGTGTTCTGTCAATGTAAGTGTTCTGTCAATGTAAGTGTTCTGTCAATGTAAGTGTTCTGTCAATGTAAGTGTTCTGTCAATGTAAGTGTTCTGTCAATGTAAGTGTTCTGTCAATGTAAGTGTTCTGTCAATGTAAGTGTTCTGTCAATGTAAGTGTTCTGTCAATGTAAGTGTTCTGTCAATGTAAGTGTTCTGTCAATGTAAGTGTTCTGTCAATGTAAGTGTTCTGTCAATGTAAGTGTTCTGTCAATGTAAGTGTTCTGTCAATGTAAGTGTTCTGTCAATGTAAGTGTTCTGTCAATGTAAGTGTTCTGTCAATGTAAGTGTTCTGTCAATGTAAGTGTTCTGTCAATGTAAGTGTTCTGTCAATGTAAGTGTTCTGTCAATGTAAGTGTTCTGTCAATGTAAGTGTTCTGTCAATGTAAGTGTTCTGTCAATGTAAGTGTTCTGTCAATGTAAGTGTTCTGTCAATGTAAGTGTTCTGTCAATGTAAGTGTTCTGTCAATGTAAGTGTTCTGTCAATGTAAGTGTTCTGTCAATGTAAGTGTTCTGTCAATGTAAGTGTTCTGTCAATGTAAGTGTTCTGTCAATGTAAGTGTTCTGTCAATGTAAGTGTTCTGTCAATGTAAGTGTTCTGTCAATGTAAGTGTTCTGTCAATGTAAGTGTTCTGTCAATGTAAGTGTTCTGTCAATGTAAGTGTTCTGTCAATGTAAGTGTTCTGTCAATGTAAGTGTTCTGTCAATGTAAGTGTTCTGTCAATGTAAGTGTTCTGTCAATGTAAGTGTTCTGTCAATGTAAGTGTTCTGTCAATGTAAGTGTTCTGTCAATGTAAGTGTTCTGTCAATGTAAGTGTTCTGTCAATGTAAGTGTTCTGTCAATGTAAGTGTTCTGTCAATGTAAGTGTTCTGTCAATGTAAGTGTTCTGTCAATGTAAGTGTTCTGTCAATGTAAGTGTTCTGTCAATGTAAGTGTTCTGTCAATGTAAGTGTTCTGTCAATGTAAGTGTTCTGTCAATGTAAGTGTTCTGTCAATGTAAGTGTTCTGTCAAAGTAAGTGTTCTGTCAATGTAAATGTTCTGTCAATGTAAGTGTTCTGTCAATGTAAGTGTTCTGTAAATGTAAGTGTTCTGTCAAAATAAGAGTTCTGTCAGAGTAAGTGTTCTGTCAATGTAAGTATTCTGTCAAAGTAAGTGTTCTGTCAAAGTAAGTGTTCTGTCAATGTAAGTGTTCTATCAAAGTAAATGTTCTGTCAATGTAAGTGTTCTGTCAAAGTAAGTGTTCTGTCAATGTAAGTGTTCTGTCAAAGTAAGTGTTCTATCAAAGTAAATGTTCTGTCAATGTAAGTGTTCTGTCAATGTAAGTGTTCTGTCAATGTAAGTGTTCTGTCAATGTAAGTTTTCTGTAAATGTAAGTGTTCTGTCAAAGTAAGTTTTATGTAAGAATAAGTGTTCTGTCAATGTAAGTGTTCTGTCAAAGTAAGTGTTTTGTCAGAGTAAGTGTTCTGTCAGAGTAAGTGTTCTGTCAATGTAAGTGTTCTGTAAATGTTAGTGTTCTGTCAATGTAAGTGTTCTGTCAATGTAAGTGTTCTGTCAAAGAGATCTTTCTTCTAAAGATAGCGTTCGAACTTAGTGTTTTCTCAAGGAGAGTTGGCTTTGAAAGATCCACGTAAGCTTAAGTGTTTCTTCAAAAATAGTTCTGTCAATGCGGATAGTTATATCATAGATAGCGTTTTCTTAAATATACACGAGGTGTTCTCTCAACAAAAGTATATTCTTAAACATTGTGTTTATTTCTCAAAGATTTGAAATTGGTCTGCAAGGTCATAAATATAGCGGCTTAACTACAATATAAAGAGGTGATGTTCCGATTTATCAACTCTTACTATTGGTTAGACAGGTCAATAAAGTAATAAATCGATTACAGAAATAATTACCAGTTTAATTCCGAATGATTGTGTGTAGATATCACTGAGATTTCAGTAGAGTGATTTATAATTTGAAACAAATCTCCCTGCCAGATACTAACAAGATTTGGTCAGCAGAAATCCGGTATTTTTATTTGCGGCTGCTCTTTCAGCTTCGTCACATATACCTAATAGCTTTCATGCCCACTCATGGCCGCTTAGGACGTTAAAATTACAGACTTATATTTTTTTAATTGGGTAAGTGATTCGAAACAACAACCTAGGGAGTTTCAGAATGGATTCCTTTAAAGCGATTATTAACTTATCCTCGTTCAGTTAAGGGTAACCGGTGATGAATAATAAAAAGTTTAGCCATTCCTAACTACCATGCAGTTTCATTTATTAGTAGCCTATTAGTTAAGTAGCCGGCAAGTGTTCTTCTGCCAAATTTCATATTAATACCGAATCTTATATGAATTGACTCAAAGAATATTTCACATGAAGTTAATGACAAAATAAAGTTTCCAGTTTAGCGAGGTGTCGAATTTAAAAAAAGTAAATGTCATGAATACTTCGGACAAGTTGCATGACGCTTACATGTCATCGCGTTAAAAGGATGTCTGTGAATATTTTCCGGGACATATGTTTCCTTAATCATCCTCAAGTCTTAAATATTGAAAACATTTTTCTATTCTTTATGAAAGCTCCAAAAGATATGTTAAAAATGACAATTAAAAAAAAAATCCAGCGAACACTGATATTAAGATGTAGGGGAGACAACTCCTGTTGAGATACTTCTAGCGTTTAACAATATTAATATAATCCCCGTTGTTCAGTAATAGGCTATAGATATATAGGATTACTGTTTTTTTAAACTCAGCACTCTCTGTGAGTATTAGGGTATTATAAAGATTAACAGTATATATGGTATGTTGCAACAAAATACTTATTAAATATTTCCCAAATTTATACTTGTAGTTGTGCAACTGGAAAAATATCAGTAAAACGCATATACTACTATACTACATATAAACACGTACGAACAAGTTGTGTAACAGATATTATGATGAAATCCACACACAAATTGATAGTTTCTTAAAGCTTTGAAGGGCAAATTGACATTTTTGTGTATAAACTTGTACACTATTTTTTGTTTTAATTCACCTAATTTGAGCATTGATTATCTAGGATAATGTTATATTACTTATTTTTTTAATTTTATATTCTAAGATAATATAAAAATACTATACTTTTATTTATGTTGCATTTATAAAAAGATAATGTAATACTGCATTATTTTTCATTCTGTTATGTTAGATAATGTAATATTACTTCATTTTTGTTTATTTTATCGTCTATGATAATGTCATATTAATTTCCTTTTTTATTTCATTTTTTTTTTCAATTTTCTACGTTGGAAGAAATAGATCATAGACTTATTCGCATCTTTAATTTTTACAACATCCGGAGATGTCAAAATTCTCCGGAATTTTACGGTGGAACGTTCCACCGTGAAATTCCGGAGAATTTTTCATTAGTTGGACAGAATACCAGTAGATATAGATCAGCGTCTTCATCGTCTCAAAGTATATAATCTTCTACGTTTTCAGTGTTTGTCTATAACTGGATCCGGATTTTACTTCTACGATATAACTCTCGAATATAATTTATAGTTACATCATAAGATATAGTAGCTTTATCACGTTTTAGAAATTGAAAAATATTCTTTTAAAGTAACAGTGACCCTTCGAATTTTTAAAGCACTTGGGAGGCTAGTACCCCCAACCCCCAACCCCCATCCCCACCCCTCCGAAAGTAATGACGCAAGAGGGATACCTTTGCGAACCCCAGTTATCCTGATCGGATGCGTTTCTCTCGTTTTATAAGAGAATCACAAGCAAACAAAAATTTAGAACTTTTAATTTAAAATACCGAACTAAGAGACTGATACACGTTCAAACCCAGTCGACTGGGCGAAACCAACCAATTAACCAAATCAACATAAAAGGACAATATTTATACAACCGGCCCTGAATAATAAGCGATAACAGGTCTTCCTAAAAAACAAAAGTAAACATTTGACTCACAAATCAAAAATTTATGAAAATCCTCGACCACATTCCAGGCAAAAATCTACAAAATGAATCAGGTCCTGTGCTGTACCTGGGACAGTCTTACACAAATGAATTAGGGACAAGTTGATTTCGTCGTACATTTATTACGTACAGAGTAGTGGCCCTGTCAAGCTTTTCAACGCCGATAATGTACCGAATTTATAATTTAAAAGCCGCTAAATCCCACGGGTACTGCCATTAAAAGCATTGCAAGCTTACACATTTGACATTAAATCTCAAATCTAAATTGTTTAAATATATATATTAACCGAGTAAGACAATTGCCATAGTTCTTTATGCATATGATTGTGGTAGACATTTGAATTTCAATCCATGACGATGAATTATTAGCAGATGCATCCATTACGACATGTGTTGATATCGGTGGTGTATGACTAACAATGCTTAGTCTAGTCACCTCCGCGATCAGTGGCGCGCGACTTCGCACCCAGACAGACGATACAGTTATTCAAGTATGACTACCGTTCGGAAGCTACCCGGTCGATAATTACCTTGAGTAGTAGAATAACACCTGAAGAGTTCCAAATGATACTGTAATATTAGCATACAAATAGGACCTTAGCAACGACCAGGCTATAGCCGAGATACGGTGTGTAACGGTGCCCCGAACTATTGTGGGTTAGGTTCTCAGATGTTGGAAACATGACATCTATCCAACTCTTCCCAAATGCAGAACACACCCCCGGAGTCCCAAAGGAATGGGGGTCGGGCAAGTTCAAGGAGGACGTAAATGTATACATCCCGGGGCCCCCTACCTGGCAATACAAGTAAGTATGACTTGCCCGTCCATTGTTTGGGTATTTAATCGCTAGCTTTAAACAATTAAAGAGACAAATCAAGGGGTGTATAATCAACTGTTATTTACAGTTGCAAGTGGGTGTCAGTATTAATGATTGCACTTGTCCTTGTACTGAATTACCTGTACAGTACAGAGTCTCAACACTACGTGAGACCTGTATACTGTACCTGTGATACCTGTATACTGTACCTGTGGTACCTGTATACTGTACCTGTTATACCTGTATACTGTACCTGTGAGACCTGTATACTGTACCTGTGGTACCTGTATATGTATATGTGGTACCTGTATACTGTACCTGTGATACCTGTATACTGTACCTGTGGTACCTGTATACTGTACCTGTGGTACCTGTATACTGTACCTGTTATACCTGTATACTGTACCTGATATACCTGTATACTGTACCTGTGGTACCTTTATACTGTACCTGTGATACCTGTATAATGTACTGTGATACCTGTATACTGTACCTGTGGTACCTGTATACTGTACCTGTTATACCTATATACTGTACCTGTGATACCTGTATACTGTTCCTGTGATATCTGTATACTGTACCTATGATACCTGTATACTGTACCTGTTATACCTGTATACTGTACCTGTTATACCTGTATTCTGTACCTGTGAAACCTGTATACTGTATACTGTATACTGTATATGTGGTACCTGTATACTGTACCTGTTATACCTGTAGACTGTACCTGTGATACCTGTATACTGTACCTGTAATACCTGTATCCTGTATCTGTTATACCTGTATACTGTACCTGTGCTACCTGTATACTGTACATGGTATACCTATATACTGTACATGGTATACATGTTATACCTATATACTGTACCTGTGGTACCTGTGTACTGTACCTGTGATACCTGTATACTGTACATGGTATACATGTTATACCTGTATACTGTACCTGTTATACATGTATTCTGTACCTGTGAAACCTGTATACTGTACCAGTGGTACCTGTATACTGTATATGTGGTACCTGTATACTGTACCTGTGGTACCTTTATACTGTACCTGTTATACCTGTATACTGTATATGTGATACCTGTAGACTGTACTTGTATACTGTACATGTGGTACCTACTGTACCTGTGGTACCTGTGATACCTGTATACTGTACCTGTAATACCTGTATCCTGTATCTGTTATACCTATATACTGTACCTGTGGTACCTGTGTACTGTACCTGTGATACCTGTATACTGTACATGGTATACATGTTATACCTGTATACTGTACCTGTGATACCTGTATACTGTACCTGTTATACCTGTAAACTGTTCTTGTTATATCTGTATACTGTACCTGTTATGCCTGTACACTGTACCTGTGATACCTGTATATTGTACCTGTTATACCTGTATACTGTACCTGTGATACCTGTATACTGTACCTGTTATACCTGTATACTGTACCTGTGATACCTGTATACTGTACCTGTGGTACCTGTATAATGTACCTGTTATACCTGTATACTGTACCTGTGATACCTGTATACTGTACCTGTTATACCTGTATACTGTACCTGTTATACTTATATACTGTACCTGTTATACCTATATACTGTACCTGTTATACCTGTATACTGTTCCTGTTATACCTGTATACTGTACCTGTTATACCTGTTATACCTGTTATACCTGTATACTGTACCTGTATACTGTACCTGTTATACCTGTATACTGTACCTGTTATACCTGTATACTGTACCTGTTATACCTATATACTGTACCTGTTATACCTGTATAATGTACCTGTTATACCTGTATAATGTACCTATCAACCTGTATACTTGTCAGCACACTGTTATAATATATAATATTATATCTGGTTTTTGATTTGTATCTTCTTTCCTGACTTTTTTTTTATTTTCCAGAGGGGAGCCGATTGATCAATTCTACACCCTCACAAAGCTAAAACTCAGTAACGTCAGGAGCAATGATGCTTTGTAAGTATAACAGTTGTTAATAGTGTTGGTATCAAATGATTTCAGTGTTGAAATTAATCTCCCTTTTAGATTATATATCTAATTGTGATAAAAAAAAATGAAGGCTAATAGTCTGTACTTCCATGTTCAGGAATCAGGTTGTTGGCTAAATGATTTCTGTGACCAGGGGAAATCAGAATTTCAAAACTACAGCAAACATGATCAGTGACATGTTACAAAACAGTCCTTACAATCTGAGAACTGCATATGCAGCACACCACAAATTAGTATAAATTTTCACAAAATGAGAAAATAACATTGTGGGATATTTGAGATAATTTAAAGGTAAAATGATCTATCCAGTTCCTGAAGCTTTTTTCTAAGCATTTTTAAAAAAAAAGCAGTGTAGAAATTATAGTTCAGAAGATTTCTTCCCACCTTGTACATAAATGTCACAAAGGACAGTTTGTGAATAACCCTGAATTTGTTGACCTTGGAAAATTGATTTTCTGGTATTTCAGGTGAAATTAGTCTGTGATGCTAGCTCTGATCCTGTGTACTGTACAGTTGCATGTATTTATTCTTAATGTCATGATTTCCATTTGCTCAAAACCACTTACATATGTACCAGGTAGTGCAGGCAAATATAAGTGTTTACTGTTCACCACAAACTACCAGGTATCTAATTTTTTAATTTTCTTTTTTTTCAGACTTTCAAAACCACAGGAAGCTCCTATGGGGTATGTGTCGACTCTATCAGGACTGATTCTCTAAGCTCCAGCTTTCAACTGTATTCTAGAGTATCATTTATGCATGTACTTTCTCAAATGATATGGATATATTGCAAAAATTAATTGTTTGATTAGCAATGTACATCAAAGTAAGGTAGCATCTATACTTACGTCATATATATGTGATATTAGTTTCCTCATTGGCTAGATCATAATCATGTGGAGGTTGGTATTTTGTGATAATGACTCGATGTTGCTAATTTTAGAAACGGGAAGGTTAATATTCACTTTATGACGTCACTTCAATTGTAATATTTGTGCTCTCTGCCAAACGCAGCACCTTTCTCTTGATGATTTTCATATCTAATTTAACAATTAAGGACTTAATTTCGTTGAATATATTCACCAAAATAACCTGAAGAGTGATATTGATCTCGACTTCGCCTTCCTCAATATCAGACTTTCTCAGGTCCATGTAACCACATATTCACCTTAACAAACGTCTATAACTGATAATAAGTTTTGACGCTATTTATATATACCGTAATAACAAATGCTGTTATATTTGAATAATCATCCATTCATTGTTAAATCCCTTAAATTATGTCTGAGATTCTATTTTTTTCAACAGAGAAATTCTCATCAACAAGGATTTTCCTGCAGAACATCCTTACAGCTCCCACATGCCTAGGTACTCGCTCTTCCCCAAGTTTGATTCCCCCGAGGATCCAAAGAAGGGAGTGGCTGCCAGAAAAGTGCAGCCAATCAATGCTGAGATGCCAGCAACAGCTCACGATGTCACCATTGTCCACAAAACAAAAGGTAAAATTCAACTGTAACAAATCGATTCATATTTCAAAGGCATGTTTTGTGTAAAACTTTGTAAAATTGTACTTGGAGCTTATTTGTGAGGTTTCAAGTTTTCCCTGTGACTCTATAATGATTGTCCCTGTAGACAGGATTTGGTGTATGCCTGTAACTTACATAACCACTTGTTGTTTATAGGGCATGGATTCCGACAGGAGGTTGAAACGATTCCAAAGGCATCGGAGAAGAGAGCTTTGGAATGGTCGGGAGAAAATGGATTTAATCAGGTAAACCAACTTCACTTCATAACCCTATTACTCCTGCAAACTTGTCCTTGCCTTACTATCTGTCCCCCCTCCTGTTCCAAAATCCTGTCCTCACATTATGTCCCAATCCCCTTATCCCCACCACCTGTCCCCGCCTTTTGTCCCCGCATCTTGTCTTCACCGTCTGTCCCCAACTGCTGTCCCCACCCCCTGTCCCAACCCCCTAGTATGTCCCAACCCCCTGTCCCTCCTCATGTCCCAATGCCCTGCCCCTACCTTTGTCCCTGCCCCCTGTCCCACCTCCTGTTCCCTCCCCTGTCCCAAGCACCTGTTCCCACCC